TGTTCTTTAATAATCTTTGACTTCTTAATTCTATAATCCTGAGGACCAATAGTAATAATTATAGTGAGAATCTCAGGATATGAACGCATTAAACCCTTCTTCCTCAACAAAAGAAACGATTTAAATTTGTTCTTTACGAGTGTCAATGTCGTTGAGCCTCTTAGAGACGGATGAGAGAGGCGGAGAACTCATCGGAAACTCGGAGCCTCGGATCAAACTTACTTTTGGGCTTTGTTAGTTTTTATTGGGCTTAGAATCCATAACTTTTTTTTCCTAACTTTATTATATCATACAGATTTTTTGTTGTTATATCATACAGATTCATCAGAAAGTATCTCTAATGTTTTATTTCTCTCGCGTCATATATATATATATATTTTTTTTGATATCTAATGATGTTTATCTCAACTAATTACATATGGTGCAAATTCAGAAAATAAATTTATCTCAAATACTCTACACGTGCATGAATTTAGGAAATGAGAGACACTAGAGAAATTTACGAACTTTTGTTTTTTGGAGAAATTTACGTACTTAGTCAGTCCCTTATTATATTATAAGACAAGGGGCCCTAATTAAGAGAAAGAGAAGAGTTTGTTGAAAAAGAAAAACCAAAGGTAATGTTTTAAATTAAGACTTGGGGGTGAAGCTAAATTATGGACCACACACTATTACAAAAGTATACAAACAGAAACTTCTCGTAATGGTGATGGAGTGTCAACGCAATACTATCGTCACATTGATAAATTAATAACATAAAAAAAAAAGTTCTTTAATATTTATTTCAAAAACATATAACACCAATTTAACATCGAATGCTGATATAATTGTATTTAAAATGATATTCTTGGTTTATATAAAAAAAAATAGAGATAATTTTTTTTTATTCTCTAAAATAGTCAAATAATATTATGGTCCACCCCCAACGTAAGCAATCAGAAAGTTTTGAAGTTTTTTTCTGGTTAACAAAAAGATTGAATTTTTGTCCAATAATTTAATGTAAACCGAGGTTCATCTGTCATTAGATTTGAATCATTTGATTGAAGTTTTAATCATTTTTTTTCAAACATAGACTTGATCAACTTTATAATTATTGTACCACTATAGTACAATGTGTACTATTTTCTGAGTAATCAATC